TTGAAAAAATATTGAAAAAAAAGGGCGCCAGCTTTACAAAATGTTTTGTAAATATTAACGAAATTTCGTAAATACCGAACTTTTTTAAGGGAAAATTTTGTAATTATTTTAAATATCGAAACAAAAAAAAACCCCAAATACAAATCGATTTTAGAAACAAATTTTTGCGTTGTTACCCAGGCCTAAATATGTCTGTGTATGTCTGTATATGTTTGTATGTTAAAATTGGCATTGAATGTTTGCCATATATGTGTACACTGTAATCCGCCCTGAGTCCCCTGCGGGGTGAGGAGAAGGGCCGAATAGAAAAGCTGTAAATAAATAAATAAATAAATAAATAAACAACTACTTTGATTCCAACGACCAACTCCTCCTCATGGTCACTATCAAGTCCAGCATTGCTGACCCCAATGCTCCTTCCCCCACCTTTTGAAAGAGGTGATAGCAGGATAATTGAACAGATGGCGCCGCCGCCGCCCCCCCCCCAAAAAAACCTACCAGTGTTTGCTTCTTTGAGATGTTTGAGATTTGTTCCACAAAAGCATAACCCCCCCCCCCCCCCCACAACCACCACCGATATCTTCTCTGGGTTTGGTGGTCTATCTTGAACTTCTACTACAATGTTGTGGTACCTCACTACTCTGAGGATGCTTGCAATAGATGCAGGTGAAACGTCAGGAGAGAATGCCTCTAGAGCAGTGGTTCTCAACCTGGGGTCCCCAGATATTTTGGCCTACAACTACCAGAAATCTCAGCCAGTTTATCAGCTGTTAGGATTTCTGGGAGTTGGAGGTCATAAACATCTGGGGACCCCAGGTTGAGAACCACTGCTCTAGAGCATGGCCATATAGCCCGAAAAAACCCACAACAACCCAATGTTGTTTTTATTTCCCTCTCAACCCCTTGTTTATTTTAACCCAGTTTCATCATTTGCATGTAATCACAGAGGTCATTCCACCCAGTCTCTGTCAGATCTATAAACTCACATCTGCTTCCTGCACTAGGGCTTCAAGCTCATCTCATTTGTCTTCAAAACCTCTGTCCATCTGATTTACAGGCATTCAAGGCCTTGCTTGTTGCAGTACTTTGTCCTTTTGTGAGTTTTAAGAGTGTCTCGCTTCTTCTTCCTCAGTTTCCCCTTTGAGTTCACCTCCTGGCCTTCAGAACTTGCTGTTGAACAGAGACTTCAGTCCCATCATGAAATGTCCTCCAAGGATATTGATCAGATCATAGAATCATAGAATCCTAGAGTTGGAAGAGATTTCGTGGGCTATCCAGTCTAACCCCCTACCAAGAAGCAGGAGAATCACCTTCAAAGCACCCCCGACAGATGGCCATCCAGCCTCTGTTCAAAAGCCTCCAGAGAAGAAGCCTCCACACCAAGTTCTACCATACTTTGGCCAAAGGCGCCTCCCTCATGCCTCTTTAACCTCCAGTTTAGGCTTCTTCAACCTGGAGTCTTGCAGGTATTTTGGACTTCAGCTCCCAGAATTCCGGTTAGGGATTATGGGAGTTGGAGGCACAAATTATGTTTTTCCTTTAGGGCAGAAAGAAGGGGGTTGGACTGGATGGCCTTTGAAGGTCTCTTCCAACCTTGGATTATTTGCATCTATTATTGTTGTTGTTGTTCAGGGTCAAACTTCGGCCCTCCAAGTGTTTTGGACTTCAGCTCCCACAATTCCCAACAGCCGGATGTCAGCAGGGCCTCTCCTTCCCAGGCCCAGCCCCCCCCCCCCCCAGGCAGCCATTCTGGGGAAGCAAAGCAAACAGTGGTCCCAAACCCACCTTTTCCCCCCGGGGGGCGGGCTAAGCCTCTCCCCCAGCCTCTGAGTGACGTCTCCATTGCCCCCCCTTCCCACCTGTTTTGGAGGGGGGGTCTCCTTCCGGCTTTTTCAGGGCCATAGGGGCGCTCTCCTCGCGTGGGAGGGGCCTGGAAGGGGGGTCGTGAGGGGAAGAGAGACAGGCAAGCAGACAGGGAAGGGTGCGGAAAGCAGCTCCGCGTATTTATTGATTGATTGATTGATTGATGTTCTTATTTATTTATGTATGTATTTATTTCTGTCTGTACGTATTTCTCTGATATCCCGCCTCTCCCCCAGGAGGGAAACCCCGGGCCCAGGTTGCTCAGAGGACCCGAGGGGCGCCCACCAACCCCCTCCCCACACCCACCCCCCTATTTATAAATATATCTCCATTTACAAGATTCTAATATTGCACATTAGTGAGTCTGAAAGCAGCACTACGGGGAATATGGGGGGGGGGGGAGAGACCCGGGAGGAGGGGGCAGAGAGGGAGGGAGGGGCTTCCGGACAACCCCCCCCCCCCTCAATCTTTAATTCCATCCCAGCAGAGGGAGAAGTCAGGCCGACCTTGGTGCCCCCTCCCCTCCCTTTATTGCCGGGGCTCCTCCGCCGCGTCATCCGTCTCCAGGCGCCGCCCCCTGCGTCAGTCCCGTTGCTAGGCGCCTGGTCGCTAGGTGCCCTCTGCGGTTGCCATGCCAACCGGCCACAGTCAAGGGTGGGGGGGGAGTAACTCTCCGCGGTTTCCTGTTTGCAGAAAGGGGTTGGACTGGATGGCCTTTGGGAGACCCTTTCAACTCTAAGGAGAAGGAAGGAAGGAAGGAAGGAAGGAAGGAGGAAGAAAGGAAGGAAGGAAGGAAGGAAGGAAGGAAGGAAGGAAGGAAGGCAAGAAGGAAGGAAGGAAAGAAGGAAGGAAGGAAGGAAGGAGGAAAGAAGGAAAAGAAGGAAGGAAAAGGAGGAAGGAAAAAAGGGGAGAGGGAGAGAGGGAAAGACAGAAAGGGAGACAGAAAGGAAGGAAGGAAGGAAGGAAGAAGGAAGGAAGGAAGGAAGGAAGGAAGGAAGGAAGGAAGGAAGGAAGGAAGGAAGGAAGGAAAAAGGGAAGGAAGGAAGGAAGGAAGGAAGGAAGGAAGGAAGGAAGGAAGAGGCTTCGCTTTGCTCCCAGGCCGGAGGAGGTTCCTATGGGAGTGGGAGGGGGCTGGGATGGAGGGGAGGGGCTTCCCTTATGGGGCGGGGGTCCCAGGACCTTGGCCGGAGGCGCTTCGGACCAGCCGGCGCTGAATTGGAGAAGGAAGGAAGGAAGGAAGGAAGGAAGGAAGGAAGAAGGAAGGCTGTGAAAGTGCGGAAGCGTCGGGGACGGGGATGGGGGGGGGTCTCTTCCAACTGCAAGGGAGAGAAGGAAGGGGCTTCGCTTTGCTCTGAGGCCTGTGGGTGTTCCTGGGGGAGGGGAGGGGCATGGGATGCAGAGGGAGGGGCTTCGCTGGGGGCGGGTCCAGGGGCCTTGGAGACCCCTCCTCCCCTCTCCAGACTCTGAAAGTGCAGAAGCATCAGGAAGGGGGTGGGGATGGGGGGCTCAGGGCATTCTTCTTCCCCTTTGCCCCCCACTTCAAACAAGGTTGGCAGATCGGGTTTGGACTGGATGACCTTTGGGGGTCACATTCAGCTCTAGGAAGGGGCGTTGCTGGTGGGGAGGGGGCGGGGGTCGGAGGTCTTGGAGACCCCTCTCCTCTCTCTCCCTCCCACTTCTCCAGGCTCTGAAGGTGTGGAAGCATAGGAGATGGGGATGGAGGTCCCAGGGCCACCTTCTTCTTCTCCGTTGGACTGGGTGGGTTTTGGGGGTCCCTTCCCACTCTAGGGAGGGGTCTGCAGGGGGAATGAAGGGGGGCCTCGGAGACCCCTCTCCTCTCTCTCCATCCCACTTCTCCAGGCTCTGAAGGTGTGGAAGCATCGGAGATGGGGATGGAGGTCCCAGGGCCACCTTCTTCTTCTCCGTTGGACTGGGTGGGTTTTGGGGGTCCCTTCCCACTCTAGGAGGGGTCTGCAGGGGGAAGGGAGGGTCGGGGTCGGAGGCCTCGGAGACCCCTCTTCTCCGGGCTCTGAAGGTGTGGAAGCATCGGGGATGGGGATGGGGGATCCCATTGCCACCTTCTTCTCCTGGATGGGCTTTGGGGGTTTTGAGGGTCCCTTCCAACTCTAGGGAGGGGTCTGCAGGGGGAAGGAAGGGGGGGGGTCGGAGGCCTCGGAGACCCCTCCTCTGTCTCTCTCTCTCTCTCTTCTCCGGGCTCTGAAAGTGCGGAAGCGTTGGGGGTGGGGGGCGGGTGGGGGGTCGCCGGGCCCCCCTCCCCCCCTCAGACGAGGTCCTCCTCGAGGAGGAGCTGCTCGGCGTAGGCCTTGGCGGGCTCGAGGCCGAGGGCGGCGGTGCAGAAGGCGGCCAGGTCTGGGTGGGTTTTGGGGGTCCCTTCCAACTCTAGGGAGGGATCTGCAGGGGGAAGGGAGGGGAGGGGGTGGCTGTGGTCGGGGGGCTCGGAGACTCCTCTCCTCTCTCTCTCCCTCTCTTCTCCAGGCTCTGAAAGTGCGGAAGTATCGGGGATGGAGGGGTCCCAGAGCCACCTTCTTCTTCTCCGTTGGACTGGGTGGCCTTTGGGGGTCCCTTCCAACTCTAGGGAGGGGTCTGCAGGGGGAAGGACGGGGAGGGGGTGGCTGGGGTCGGGGGCCTCGGAGACCCCTCTCCTCTCTCTCTCTCTCCCTCTCTTCTCCGGGCTCTGAAAGTGCGGAAGCATCGGGGATGGGGATGGAGGGGTCCCAGAGCCACCTTCTTCTTCTCCGTTGGACTGGGTGGGTTTGGGGGGTCCCTTCCAACTCTAGGGAGGGGTCTGCAGGGGGAAGGGGAGGGGAGGGAAGGGAGCGGGGTCGGAGGCCTCGGAGACCCCTCCTCTCTCTCTCTTATCCGGCCTCTTAAAAGTGCGGAAGGGATGGGAATGGGGATGGAGGGGTCCCAGGGGCCACCGCCTTCTTCTCCTGGATGGCCTTTGGGGGTTATGGGGGTCCCTTCCAGCTCTAGGGAGGGGTCTGCAGGGGGGGAAGGAAGGGGGGTCGGAGGCCTCGGAGACCCCTCCTCTGTCTCTCTCTCTCTCCCTCTCTTCTCCGGGCTCTGAAAGTGCGGAAGCGTTGGGGGTGGGGGGCGGGTGGGGGGTCGCCGGGCCCCCCTCCCCCCCTCAGACGAGGTCCTCCTCGAGGAGGAGCTGCTCGGCGTAGGCCTTGGCGGGCTCGAGGCCGAGGGCGGCGGCGCAGAAGGCGGCCAGGTCGCGCCACCGGTCTGGGGGGAGGAAGAGCTGGCAGGCGACGTGGCGGGGGCCCAGGGCGGGCAGCTGGAGGCGGAGGTGGCGGAGCAGCTGGCCCTGGAGGAGCGGCGCGGGCCCGCGGCCGAAGGCGTCCACGTTGAGGTAGAGGCAGCCCCCGCCGCCGGAGCCCGCCCCCGCCCCCGCCCCCGCCTCGCCCAGCGGGACCGGGAAGGGGCGCGTGCTGAGCGAGGCCACCGAGGGGAGGTCGCGGCGGTCGACCAGCCAGCGCAGCTCCTTCTGCCGCAGCAGCGCCAGGTTGCTCTCGCACGCCTTGAAGGGCTGCCAGTCCTGGATGATGGTCCCGCCCGGAAGCACCTCCCGCCGGAACCGCTCCGACAGCACCACCCCCGGCACCTCGCTCTCCGACAGCAGCTCCGGCGCCGGGGCCACCCCGCCCGACGACGCCGCCGCCAGCGCCGCCTCCGCCGCCTCCAGCCGGCCCAGCAGCTCCTGCGCCTCGAAGCGGACCAGAAGGATGCCCTGCAAGGGGGGGGGGGGGAGAAAGGGAAGAGGGAGAGAAAGTAGAGAAGGAAGAAGTGGAAAAGAGGAAGAAGTGGAGGAGGAGGAGGAGGAGAGGTGATGGAGGGGAGGAAGAGGAAGACGGGGAGAGAAGAAGAAGAGAAGGAAGAGAAAGAAGAGAAGGAAGAAGTGGAGGAGGAGGAGGAGGAGGAGGAAGGGATGGAGGGAAGGGAAGAGAGAGGGGAGGGAAAGAAAAGAAGGGAGAAAAAGGAAGAGTGGAAAAGAGAGTGGAGGAGGAGAGGTGATGGAGGGGAGGAAGAGGAAGACGGGGAGAGAAGGAAGAAGAGGAGAAGGAAGAGAAAGTAGAGAAGGAAGAAGTGGAAAAGAGGAAGAAGTGGAGGAGGAGGAGGAGGAGAGGTGATGGAGGGGAGGAAGAGGAAGACGGGGAGAGAAGGAAGAAGAGGAGAAGGAAGAGAAAGTAGAGAAGGAAGAAGTGGAAAAGAGAAAGAAGTAGAGGGAAGGAAAGACAAAAGGTAAGGGAGGGAGGAAGAGAAGGGTTGAAGGAAGGAAAGGAAGGATAAAGGAAAGTGAGAAGGAAGGAAGGAGAGAGAGAAGGGAAGGAGGGAAGGAGAGGAGAAGGAAGAGAAAGTAGAGAAGGAAAGAAAGTAGAGAAGGAAGAAGTGGAGGAGGAGGAGGAGGAGAGGTGATGGAGGGGAGGAAGAGGAAGACGGGGAGAGGAGGAAGAAGAGGAGAAGGAAGAGAAAGTAGAGAAGGAAGAAGTGGAAAAGAGGAAGAAGTGGAGGAGGAGGAGGAGGAGGGGTGATGGAGGGGAGGAAGAGGAAGACGGGGAGAGAAGGAAGAAGAGGAGAAGGAAGAGAAAGTAGAGAAGGAAGAAGTGGAAAAGAGGAAGAAGTGGAGGAGGAGGAGGAGGAGGAGGAGGAAGAGAAGAAAAGAGGAGAAGGAGAAGAGAGAAGGAAGAGTGAAAAGAGAAGAAGAGGAAGAGAGAGGAGGAGAGGAGGAAGAGAGGGAGAAAGAAGGAAGAAGGAAGAGGGAGGAGAGAAGGGGAGGAGAGGAAGAGAAGGGGAGGAGGAAGAGGAGAGGGGAAGAAGAAGAGAAGGAGGTGAAGGAGAAAGAAAAGGAGGACGGGAAAGAGATGGTGGAGGAGAAGGAGGTGAAGGAGAAGGAAGAAAAGGATGAGGAGGTGTGCTAGTTTTGAATGAGAAAAAAAGGAGGAGATGAAGGAGAAAGAAGAGGAGGAGGATGAAAAAGAAGAGGAAGAGGAAGATGTGGAGGAAGATGAGGTGAAGCAGGAGAAAGAGGTGGAGAAGAAGAGGAGTTGAAGGAAAATGAAGAGAAGGGGGTATATTGGTGGAGGAGGAGAATCGGGTGGTGAACGAGAAGATGAAGTAGAAGGAGAAGGCCGCCCCCAAGGAAGGAAGGATATCACGAAGGCTAGGGCCGGCCCTGGTGGGGGGGGGGGGGGGGGGGATCATGGCCACTGCTGCCCTTGTGGCCTTTGCCTCTCCTGAGAGAGAGACTCCTTCTTCTTTACTCCTCTAACTCCTCGTCACGAGTGACCAGAAAGACCATGCAGGAGACCAGGCCTCCCCCACCCGCTTGCCCCCGCCCCCACCTATTTGGACCTCCAACTCCAGAATTCCTGACCATCGCTCAAGCTGGCAATGGGGACTTCTGGGAGATGGAGTCCAAACATCTCCCATGCCATAAGCCCAGGGCTTGACCTTCCTGGGGGGGGGGTATCCTCTCAAGCTGCCCCTTCTCCCCCAGGGCTCTCCCTTCCGACCCCTCTCTGAGCCCCTCCTAATCTCAGGCATCTTTCCTCACCCCGAGAACCAAGGCTGCCTCTCATCTCCTCATTGGCCACTTAGGATGGAGGCCTCCCCTGCAGGTGCCAAGGCAAAGCCACCAGTGAACGTGGGAGTGGATGCCCTGCCTTGCCGGCCTTGCGTGTTTTGGGGCTCAGGGAGGCAGAGGCGGGCTTGGTCTCCTACTTTGCTGCAGGAATCATAGAATCCTAGAGTTGGAAGAGACCTCCTGGGCCATCATCCAGTCCAACCCCATTCTGCCAAGAAGCAGGAATATTGCATTCAAAGCACCCCTGACAGATGGCCATCCAGCCTCTGTTAAAAGCTTCCAAAGAAGGAGCCTCCACCACACTCCGGGGCAGAGAGTTCCACTGCGGAACGGCTCTCACAGTCAGGAAGTTCTTCCTCATGTTCAGATGGAATCTCCTCTCTTGTAGTTTGAAGCCATTGTTCCACGTCCTAGTCTCCAGGGAAGCAGAAAGGAAGCTTACTCTCTCCTCCTCCCTGTGGCTTCCTCTCACATATTTATACATGGCTCTCATCATATCTCCTCTCATATCTCTTCTTCAGGCTAAACATGCCCAGCTCTTTAAGCCGCTCCTCATAGGGCTTGTTCTCCAGACCCTTGATTATTTTAGTCGCCCTCCTCTGGACACATTTCAGCTTGTCAATATCTCTCTTGAATTGTGGTGTCCAGAAATGGACACAATATTCCAGGGAAGGCTCGTTCCCAAGCGTTGTGGTTGCCATCCTTGTCCCCGAAAGGGCCAACACGGCCTCCCTGAAGGAACCAGAGCAGTTCCTGCCAATGGCCACTCCACCCTTTCCCAAAACCAAGATGCCATGAAATCTGATGCTGCTTCCTGGCATCTCTGGATGATGTGATGCCACAGACCGTAACCAGCCTGACCGAAATGGGCTGGCGTTCTTCCTAAGGAAGAGCGAGACGGCCTTGTTTCCTGGAAACTGAGAGGCCTCAAGGGAGCCGTGGGTTGAATGGCAGGAAAGGAGATTCCATTGAACTTGAGGAAGAATTTCCTGACTGGAAGGAAAGCTGTTCAAGAGGGGAACTCCCTGCCTCACAGTCGAGTGGAATCTCCCTCTTTGGAGGCTTTGAAATAGAAGCTGAATGGTCTTCTATCAGGGGTGCTTGGATTGTGCTTTTCCTGCATGGCAGGAAGAAGAGGGTTGGATTGGATGGCCTTTGAGGGTCCCTTCCAATCCTCGGATTATTTGGATCTATTGTTGCTGTTATGATGATGTAGGGGCTGGATGGCCATTTGTCAGGAGGGCTTGGATTGTGCTGTTCTGCCTTTATGGCAGAAGGGAGTTGGGACTGAATGGACTCTGGGGTCCCCCAGCCTCTTGGACTCCTGTTTCCTTCCTCCCAGCATGGATGGGACGACTGGATGGACTTTGGGGGGCCCTTCCAACCATAGGATTCTTTAAATCTCTTATTGCTGTTATTATGGTGCTGGGTGGCCATCTGTGGGGAGGACTTTTTTGTGCTTTTCCATGATGGCAGTATGAAGGGGTTTGGGGGGGCTCTCCCCCGGGGGCCCCGCCTTCCCCTCCCCCGCGGACCTGCTTGGCATGAGGAAGAATCTCCTGACTGTAAGGAATCCTGTTTAACAGGGGAATTCCCTGCCTCATAGTCCAGTGGAATCTCCTTTGGAGGCTTTTAAAAAGAGGCTTCATGGCCATCTGTCAGGGGGGCTTCAATTGTGCTTTTCCTGCATGGCAGGAAGAAGAGGGTTGGATTGGATGGCCTTTGAGGGTCCCTTCCAACCCTCAGATTCTTTGGATCTATTATTATTGTTGTTATGATGAAGCAGGGGCTGGATGGCCATTTGTCAGGAGGGCTTGGATTGTTCTGTTCCTTTATGGCAGAAGGGCGTCGGGACTGAATGGGGTCCCCCTACTTCTTAGACTCCTGCTTTCTTCCTCCCTCCATGGGTGGGGCAACTGGGTGGCCTTTGGGGGCCCCTTCCAACCTAAGGGTTCTTTAAATCTCTTTTTGTCGTTATTATGGGGCTGGGTGGCCATCTGTGGGGAGGACTTCTTGTGCTTTTCCATGATGGCAGTATGAAGGGGTTTGGGGTGCCTCCCCCCTGGGGGGCCCCGCCCTGCCCCCCCCCCCCGCTTGGACCTGCCTGGCATGAGGAAGAATTTCCTGACTGTAAGGAAACCTGTTCAGTAGGGGAACTCCCTGCCTCATAGTCCTGTGGACTCTCCTTTGAAGGCTTGATGGCCATCTATCAGGGGTGCTTTGATTGTGCTTTTCCTACATGGCAGGAAGATGGGGGTTAGACTGGATGGCCTTTGGGGGTCCCTTCCAACTTTAAATCGCTTATGATGCTGCAGAGGCTGGATGGCCATCTGTAGGGAGGGCTCTGATGGCAGGAAGAAGGGGTTTGGGGTGCCCGGATGGCCTTTGAGGGTCCCTTCCAACTTTAAATCGCTTATGATGCTGCAGAGGCCGCGTGGCCATCTGTGGGGAGGGCTTCGATGGGAGGAAGAAGGGGTTTGGGGTGCCCCCCCCCCCGCTCACCTGCTTGGCGATGACGCGGTACTTCTTGAGGTCCTTGGGTCCGAGCTGGTCGTCGCGGGTGAGGCGGGAGACCTTGACCCCCGGGTGCTGCTCCTTGACCATCTGGGCGCAGAAGCGCTGCAGGACCCCCGCCACGCCCCGCCCCCGCTCCCAGGGGGCCACGCGCAGACCCTCCACCAGCGCCGTCTCCCCCGAGTCGATGACGTACACGGACTGGAGCCCGATCTGGGGGGGGGGGCAAAGGGGGGGGGGCCATTGGGAAAGAGAGAGAGAGAGAGAGAGAGAGAGAGAGAGAGAGGGTCAAGGCCGGGCGGGCGGAGAGGCGCCTGCCATTCATTGGAAAGGAAAAGGTGGCGTTAATCAACCCAAGCAGGGGAGGGGGGGGGGGCAGCGGAGGGGGCAGGAAGGGCACATCATGAAGCGTCAATCACAACGTATTTCAGAGAGAGAGAGAGAGAGAGAGAGAGAGAGGACAAAGGCGGCAGCAGCAACGGCAGCGACTTAAGAGAGAAGAGAAGATTAGAGAAGAGGAGAGGAGAGAAGAGGGAGGGAGTGAGAAGGCGGCATACTAGTACCATTGGGAGGGGGCCCTTTATTGCTACGGGGCGGGCGGGGGTCTCAAGAGCGGAGAGACACAAAGAGGGAGGAGAGAGGAGCTAGTGGGGCCGCGGGTGGGTGGGCGAGTGGGTGGGCGAGTGGGCCTCCGTCCGCCGCCGGCCCTCCTCCGAGGAGCCCTCCACTTCCTGGGCCTCGGCCGCCCCTCCGCCGCCCCTCACACCTACGTGAATACAACCCGGGTGAAATCATTCGGTTTGGAGACCCTTCCCAAAGAGAGAGAGAGAGAGAGAGAAGTCCAGAGGGAAGCTGTCAACAAAGAACCCAAGAGGTCAGTTGAAACCGGAAGTGGGGGGGGGCAAAGTGTGTGTGTGTGTGGGGGGGTCCCTTTGGTTGGGCAAAGGTCATCAAGCCAACCCCCCCCCCCATCACCAGAGCAAGTGAGGGGTTTATTTGCCCAAAAGTGGGGAGGGGTCACTCCTGACAAATCACTCCTGACAGATGGCCATCCAGCCTCTGTTTCAAAGCTTCCAAAGAAGGAGCCTCCACCACACTCCCTCCGGGGAAGGCAGAGTTCCACTGCTGAACGGCTCTCACAGTCAGGAAGTTCTTCCTGTGTTCAGAGTGGAACTCTCTGCCCCTGGAGTGTGGTGGAGGCTCCTTCTTTGGAAGCTTTGAAACAGAGGCTGGATGGCCATCTGCCAGGGGTGCTTTGAGGGCAATATTCCTGCTTCTTTGCAGAATGGGGTTGGACTGGAGGATGGCCCAGGAGGTCTCTTCCAACTCTAGGATTCTATGACTCTATGAGAGGCTGGATGGCCATCTGCCAGGGGTGCTTTGAATGCAATATTCCTGCTTCTTGGCAGAATGGGGTTGAACTGGATGATGGCCCAGGAGGTCTCTTCCAACTCTAAGATTAGCTTCCTGACTGTGAGAGCCGTTCAGCAGTGGAACTCTCTGCCCCAGAGTGTGGTGGAGGCTCCTTCTATGGAAGCTTTGAAACAGAGGCTGGATGGCCATCTGTCAGGGGTGATTTGAATGCAATATTCCTGCTTCTTGGCAGAATGGGGTTGGACTGGAGGATGGCCCAGGAGGGGGTCTCTTCCAACTCTTTGATTCTAGGATTCTAAATGGAGATGAGCACCACCCCCCAGGGTCAGACCCAAGTCGACTAGACTGAATGTCAAGGGGAAACCTTTACGTACAAAGACACAGGAGAAGAGCCATACCAGGGCAGGTAAATTCTGAAAATGAACATTTAGAGAAAAACTGTCAATTAAGTATTATTACTGAAAACCCAGGGTGGGGGAAAGACCCCTTGTCTGTTTGGAGCAAGTGTGAATGTTGCAATTGGCAAGCTTGATTAGCATTATTGAGTATTTGAATATTGACTTATTGAGTATTTGAATATTGTTTATTATGCTACTGTTTTAATTGTTTTTAACTGTTTTATGATGTTTTTGAGCATTGAATTTTGCTATTGTTAACTGCTCCGAGTCACCCGAGGGCTGAGAAGAGCAGTATGCAAATATAGTAAGTAAATAAATAAATTGAGTAGCCACGAAGCTGCAAAGTCAATCGGTGTTGTTGCCTGGAGACATCCTTTTTTTATTGCTATTGTTGTTGTCGTTTGTTCAGTGCACCAGGTTTGCGGGATTGCCCTCCTGGCTCAGCCCACAAAGGGTGACCTGAGCATGTATCAACCCAGGTGGGAAGTGTCGACTCCCCCCAATAAGGGACACAGGGAATCTGCACATACATGACACCATCCTGGTGAACATGAGTGCCAAGAGTATTTCTCTTCTAGGTTCTTGTGGGTTTTTTCGGGCTATAGAGCCATGTTCTAGAGGCATTTCTCCTGACGTTTCGCCTGCATCTGTGGCAAGCATCCTCAGAGGTGTGAGGTCTGTTGGAATTAGGACAATGGGTTTATATCTCTGTGGAATGGCTGGGGTGGGGCAAGGAGCTCTTCCCTGCTGCAGTTAGGTGTGAATGTTTCAGCTGATCACCTTCATTAGCATTTGAAGGCCTGCCTGAGCCTGGGAAAATCTCTTGCTGGGAGGTGTTAATCTGTGCCTGGTTGTTTCCTCTCTGTTGTTTTGCTGTTGTAATTTTAGAGTTTTTTAATACTGGTCGCCAGATTTTGTCTTCTGATTGGGAGGACTCAGACATGCTCCACTTTGGCCCACTCTTTGGCCCAAGTGGGGTGGGGGTTGAAAGGCCTTGGGATCAAGACCAGCCCCCATTTGGCCAGGAGGGGCCACCCAGCTCCAATGTCAGCGTTCCCCACTCAGGTGCAACAGGGTCACCCATTTGCTTCCACAGAGCCCCCAAATTGCCCCCACATCCCCATTAGATACCAGAAATGAATGGAAGGGAAAGAGAGGGCTGGGGTGGGCAGATTGTTAACCCCCCCCTCCAATTGCCTCCACTTGTTAGTGGGGCACAGCTCAAAGGGGAGCTCGTCCCACCCAAACTCCCTTCAGGATGCTGCTGTGGAGCGATGGGGCAAAGTGGAGTCCTTTCTTCCCCACAGCATTACTGGGTCTGCAGGTGCTTTGCTTTCCTCTGAAGCAGAACCAAATGGAGCACTTTGCTTCCCAAGGCCTGGCTCTGCATCTAGAGTGGGTGGGTGGTTGAACGCAGCCCCTCCCCAGCTGCTTTTCAATGCTCCTAGGAAGGTTCTAGACCCCTGAAGAACATCCCACTGTTTGCATGAGGCTCTCCTAGAATCAAAGAGTTGGAAGAGACCTCATGGGCCATCCAGTCCAACCCTAGTCTGCCAAGAAGCAGGAATATTGCATTCAGATAACCCCTGACAGATGGCCATCCAGCCTCTGCTTAAAAGCTTCCAAAGAAGGAGCCTCCACCACACTCCCGGGCAGAGAGTTCCACTGCTGAACGGCTCTCACAGTCAGGAAGTTCTTCCTCATGTTCAGATGGAATCTCCTCTCTTGTAGTTTGAAGCCATTGTTCCATTGCGTCCTAGTCTCCAGGGAAGCAGAAAACAAGCTTGCTCCCTCCTCCTCCCTGTGGCTTCCTCTCACATATTTATATGGCCTTCATCATATCCCCTCTCAGCCTTCTCTTCTTCAGGCTAAACATGCCCAGCTCCTTAAGCCGCTCCTCATAGGGCTTGTTCTCCAGACCCTTGATCTGCCCTCCTCCCTGTGGCTTCCTCTCACATATTTATACATGGCTATCATATCCCCTCTCAGCCTTCTCTTCTTCAGGCTAAACATGCCCAGCTCCTTAAGCCGCTCCTCATAGGGCTTGTTCTCCAGACCTTTTATCATTTTAGTCGCTCTCCTCTGGACACATTCCAGCTTAGAGTCAATATCTCTCTTGAATTGTGGTGCCCAGAATTGGACACAATATTCCAGGTAAAGTGTTCTAACCAAAGCAGAATAGAGGGGTAGCATGACTTCCCTAGATCTAGACACTAGGCTCCTATTGATGCAGGCCAAAATCCTGGGGCTCCTGTACTTCCCAAAGAGCTCTTGAAGGACAGAAGATGGCTGCTGTGGCCTCCTGGGCTTGAACGTTGCCGATGCACACCCACCTTTCCTCGAAGCCCCAGGACTTTAATGAGAAAACATGTGGGCTTTGAGGTTCAGCAGGAGAGCACCGCAACAACCTCTCAGCTTGCTTCCTGAGCAATAAATACTACCTTCAAAAGGGTTTGGGGGGGGGGGGGCTCCCTTGCCACAGATCCTGGCTGCAGTACCAATTCAATGGCAAGAGTCTCTGCTGCCTCCGGGACTCTGTGGGCGCATTCCCAATTGACCTGAGCATTCCCAATTGGCTGCTTCCCCCATTCTGCTCAGGCTGCACCCTCCAAAGTGCAGGCAACTACAAGCAGCCCCCAACTCACGAACAAGGTACATCCCATAGGTGTGTTCTTAAGTTGAAGGTAAGTCAGAACAGGTACATTTTGAAAGCGTAACATATACATATACATATAGGTTTTGGATTGCACAGGGAAGGGTTAATTTGCTTTGCTGCCAGTGCAAGATTCCACCTCACTTTCAAGGTTGTTAAGATCTTCTGGAGGGGCCCTGCTCTCGGTCCCACCACCCTCGCAGTGGGGACGAGGGACAGAGCCTTCTCGGCGGTGGCCCCTCAGCTCTGGAACTCTCTCCCACTGGAGATCAAACTACAAGAGAGGAGATTCCATCTGAACATGAGGAAGAACTTCCTGATTGTGAGAGCCGTTCAGCAGTGGAACTCTCTGCCCCGGAGGGAGTGTGGTGGAGGCTCCTTCTTTGGAAGCTTTTAAACAGAGGCTGGGTGGCCATCTGTCAGGGGTGCTTTGAATGCAATATTCCTGCTTCTTGGCAGAATGGGGTTGGACTGGATGATGGCCCAGGAGGTCTCTTCCAACTCTTGGATTCTATGATTCTATGAGATTAGATCTGCCCCTTCTCTCCTGACTTTTAGAAAACTGGTGAAAACTTGGCTCTGGACTGTAGCATTTGATGAGTGAGTCAATAAGTCTTGACCACACGGACGGATGGTGATGAATTGTGATTTCATTCTGACGACTTGGCCTTATGTAATTATATGATTGTATTTTATGTATTAGTGTATTATGGGATGTTACGTTTTTAATCTATTGTTTATGAATCTTTTGTTGTGAACCGACCTGAGTCCCTCTTCGGAGGTCGAGAAGACCGGGATATAAAAGTTCTAAATAAATAAATAAATAAATAAATACCTGTTCAACCCTTTTATTAATGACTTAGATGAAGGGTTAGAAGGCAGGATTATCAAGTTTGCAGACGACACCAAATTGGGAGGGATAGCCAATACTCCAGAGGACAGGAGCAGGATTCAAAACGATCTTGACAGATTAGAGAGATGGACCAAAACTAACAAAATGAAGTTCAACAGTGACAAATGCAAGATACTCCACTTTGGCAGGAAAAACAAAATGCAAAGATACAGAATGGGGGACAATGCCTGGCTCGAGAGCAGTACGTGTGAAAAAGATCTTGGAGTCCTCGTGGACAACAAGTTAAACATGAGCCAACAATGTGATGTGGCGGCAAAAAAAGCCAATGGGATTTTGGCCTGCATCAATAGGAGCATAGTGTCTAGATCTAGGGAAGTCATGCTCCCCATGCTCTATTCCACTTTGGTTAGACCACTTTACCTGGAATATTGTGTCCAATTCTGGGCACCACAATTCAAGAGAGATATTGACAAGCTGGAATGTGTCCAGAGGAGGGCGACTAAAATGATCAAGGGTCTGGAGAACAAGCCCTATGAGGAGCGGCTTAAAGAGTTGGGCATGTTTAGCCTGAAGAAGAGAAGGCTGAGAGGGATATGATAGCCATGTATAAATATGTGAGAGGAAGCCACAGGGAGGAGGGAGCAAGCTTGTTTTCTGCTTCCCTGGAGACTAGTACGCGGAACAATGGCTTCAAACTACAAGAGAGGAGATTCCATCTGAACATGAGGAAGAACTTCCTGACTGTGAGAGCCGTTCAGCAGTGGAACTCTCTGCCCCGGAGTGTGGTGGAGGCTCCTTCTTTGGAAGCTTTTAACAGAGGCTGGATGGCCATCTGTCAGGGGTGATTTGAATGCAATATTCCTGCTTCTTGGCAGAATGGGGTTGGACTGGATGATGGCCCAGGAGGTCTCTTCCAACTCTTTGATTCTAGGATTCTATTATTATTATTATTCCACTTTATCCTTAATTGCTTCTGTTAAATAACAATCCCTGTTATTTATGGATGATGGTTGTGTTAATGTAATATGTTTTGGTTCGTTTTGTATCTATTTTGTGTTGTTATTTTTGTTGATTACATTTAAATTGGTTATTTGTTTTATTGTTGTTTATTGTTTGTATTATTCACATTGCTGTAAGTTCGCTCCAAGTCCCCTCGGGGAGATGGGGCGGGATATAAATAAAGAGTTGTTGTTGTTGTTGTTGTTGTTGTTGTTATCTTTCCCAAAGGGGACCCAAATTGGCTTAACATAAAAGCATTAGTACACAGGGTTGTTGTAGGTTTTTTTGGGCTATATGGCCATGTTCTAGAGGCATTCTCTCCTGACGTTTTGCCTGCATCTATGGCAAGCATATTCAGAGGTAGTGAGGTCTGTTGGAACTAGGAAAATGGGCTTATATATATGTGTGGAATAATGACCAGGGTGGGACAAAGGACTCTTGTCTGCTGGAGCAAGGTGTGAATGTCTCAACTGATCACCTTAATTAGTGGGTTGTTGTAGGTGTTTTCAGCCTATATGGCCATGTTCTACAGGCATTGTCTCCTGACATTTCGCCTGCATCTCTGGCAAGCATCCTCAGAGGTAGTGAGGTCTGTTGGAACTAGGAAAAAGGGTTTATATATCTGTGGAATGACCAGAGTGGGACAAAGGACTCTTGTCTGCTGGAGCTAGGTGTGAATGTTTCAACTGACCACCGTAATTAGGCATTTGATGGCTTGGCAGTGCTTGGGGCAATCTTTTGTTGAGAGGTGATTAGATGTCCCAGATTGTCCCAACAGGCCTCACAACCTCTGAGGATGCTTGCCATAGATGCAGGCGAAACGTCAGGAGAGAATGCCTCTAGACCATGGCCATATAGCCCAAAAAAACCTACAACAACCCAGCGATTCCGGCCATGAAAGCCTTCGACAATACATTAGCACACAGTTTGAAACATACAAATATGCAGTTACTTCCTGTTGTCTCACTCTCGTTCTTAACTAGGAACTGTTTGTAAGTCGGATGTTTGTAACTTGGGGGTGGCTTGTATTTTAATTAATGGTGAATACGCTGAACCCTGCCCTTCCCAGCAGGCTCAGGCAAAAGACAACTGCAGCAGCCGCTCTTGGCTTGGCTCTTCCTCCCTGTCCATTGCTTTGGCCCCCTTTCCAGCACTATCTTGAGGCTTGGCCACACTCTCCCAGTTTCATCTGTGAAACAATATTTCGGAAGTGTTGCCGAAGGCTTCCTTTCATGGCCAGAATCACCGAGTTACTGTGTGTTTTGCAAGTTGTATGGCCCTGTTCCAGCAGCATTCTCTCCTGATGTTTCATCTGTCTCTATGGCAGGCATCCTCAGAGGTTTGGTCAGAGGTCTGTGGTAATGAGGCAAGTGGAGTATATGTATACCTGTGGAATTATGTCCAGGGTGGGAGAAAGAACCCTTGTCCGCTTGAAGCAAGTGTGAATGTTGTAGTTGGCAAGCTTGATTTGCATTGAATAGCCATGAAGTTTGCAGTCAATCGATGAGGGTCTCTGCATACAGGTAGCCTGGAGGCATCCTCAAAGGTTTGTTCAGAGGTCTGTGGGAATGCATTCCAGTGGTGTGTATATATATCTCTGGGATATCCAGAGTGGGAGAAAGAACTCTTATCTGGATGCACCCAGGCAGCAACAAACTTGTGCGCCAGTTGCGCCCGTACCTTGGGAAGTCTGACTTGGCCACGGTAGTCCACGCTCTGGTTACATCCCGGATTGATTACTGCAACGCGCTCTACGTGGGGTTGCCCTTGAAGACTGCCCGGAAGCTTCAGATGGTCCAGCGCTCGGCAGCCAGGTTGCTAATGGGAGCGGCACTCAGGGAGCATACCACTCCTCTGCTGAACCAGCTCCACTGGCTGCCAATCCGCTACCAGGCACAATTCAAGGTGCTGGCTTTAGCCTATAAAGCCCTAAACGGTTCTGGCCCCGCTTACCTCTCCGAACGCATCTCCACCTATGAACTGACTAGAACATTCAGATCTTCTGGGGAGGCCCTGCTCTCGATCCCGCCTGCGTCACAGGCGCGCTTGGCGGGGACGAGAGACAGGGCCTTCTCGGTGGTGGCCCCTCGGCTATGGAATGCCTTACCGGCAGACATCAGACAGGCACCTTCGTTGCTGACGTTTCGGAAAATGGTTAAGACCTGGCTTTATGAACAAGCGTTTGGTTAAGCAGTGCAACCAATCATAGGAAGATGGTAAATGGAACATAGGAATGGCACAAGGATTATGAGAACGGATCTGATTTCAACTGAGGCGTTATGTTATGTCTGTTTTGTTGATTTGTCTTGTTTGATTGTTAATTGTTGTGGATTGATGCTGTTGATCCTGTTTGTTGCATTGTTATGTTTTAATTGCACTGACACTGTTTGATAATTGTACCATGTAAACCGCATTGAGTCGCCTGTTATGGGCTGAAAAATGCGGCATAGAAATAAAGCAAATAAATAAATAAATAATAAACAGCCAGGCAAAGCCCGCTCAATTGCTAATCAAGCTTATCTGGATGCACCCAGGCAGCAAGAGCCAGGTTTTGCTGCTGCAAAGCCCACTCAATTGGTAATCAAGCTAGCTAACTGCAATGTTCACACTTGCCTCAAAGAGACAAGAGTTCATTCTCCCACCCTGGACATTATTCCACAGGTATATATGCACTCCACTTGCCTCACTGCCAACAGAACCTCTAAGGCTGCCATTACCCACTGACGGAGGCGAAATATCAGGAGAGAAGTTTGCAAAGTCAATCAGTGAGGGTCTCTGCATAGAGGTAGCCTGCTCATTCTTGCTTGGAGGCACCCTCTGTGTAATAATGTCCCGGGTGGGAGAAAGAACCCTTGTCCGTTTGAAACAAGTCTGAATGCTGCAAGTGGCAAGCTTGATTACCATTGAGTAGGCATGAAGTTTGCAAAGTCAATCAGTGAGGGTCTCTGCATAGAGGTAGCCTGCCTGTTCTTGCCTGGAGGCATCCTCAGAGGTTTATTCAGCGGTCTGTGGGAATGCATTCAAGTGGTGTGTGTATATGTATCTGTGGGATATCCAGAGTGGGAGGAAGAACTCTTATCTGGATGCACCCAGGCAGCAACAGCCAGGCTTTGCTGCTGCAAAGCCCACTCAATTGGTAATCAAGCTAGCTAACTGCAATGTTCACACTTGCCTCAAAGAGACAAGAGTTCATTCTCCCACCCTGGACATTATTCCACAGGTATATATGCACTCCACTTGCCTCACTGCCAACAGAACCTCTAAGGATGCCATTAGCCACAGATGAAGGCGAAATGTCAGGAGAGAATGCTGCTGGAACATGGTCACACAGCCCAAACAAACTGTCAGCAATGCAATATTTTGGAAGTGGGTGAGATGTCCACGCCTCTGGGGCCTTCCTCCCTTGACCCTTCTCTGAACTGCCCTATAGGAAAGCGTCCCTCCAGGAGTAGCCCCTCTTTCCCCCCAGCCCCACAGCAGCCTCCCCTCCTCCTTGGGGTCTCCCCATTTGGAGGCATCACCCAGCAGGGTCCTCACCACGGCTCCGTTCTTCTTGGCCACCACGACGGTGCGGTTGGGCTCCCGGATCCAGGTGTGGTAACGGCTGGGCAGGTAGTCCAGGCCGCCGTAGATGCCCTTGGACATGGCCAGGACCTCCTCGAACTCGGCCTCCGTGGCCACGGAGAACTCCAGCGGAGAGTCGGCTGAGCTGGGGCTCTCCAGCTTCATGGCTGCGCAGGGCTCAGAGCGGCTGCAGGGAGACAAACTGAGTGAAAACCACCAGGGAGGGGGAAAGGAGCGGGTGGGGGTCCTACCGTCCAGAGACCCTGAAAACAAGTCGGTGAGAAAGAAGAAGGAATGGCAAAATGGGGCGGCAGGAGGCAGCAGAGGGAGATCGCTGAGTTCAACAGTGGAACTCTCTGCCTCAGAGTCTGATGGAGGCTCCTTCCTTGGAGGCTGGGGTGGCCATCTGTCAGGAGGGATTTGATTGTGCTTTCCCACATAATAGCAGAAAGGGATTGGACTAGATGATCCATGCGGTCTCTTCCAACTATTATAAATACTATGCAGAAGCTGGGATGGCCATCTGTCGGGAGGGATTTGATTGTGCTTTTCCTGTTAGGAAAAGCTGTTAGGAGTTGTGGGAGTTGGAGTCCAAATTACCTAGAGGGCTGTAGTTTGCCCATGCCTGGACTACATAGTCCATGCGGTCTATTCCAACTTCTCCTTCTCCTTCTTCTTATTCAAAAGGTAAGGTAGGTAATCTGTCAGGGGTGCTTTGATTGTGATTTTCCTGCCTGGCAGAATGAGGTTGGACTAGATGCCCTCTAGGGGTCTCTTCCAACTCTTATTATTTTGTGATTCTGTGAGTGTTGTTGTTTTTGTTGTTATCCTTACTATTCAGAGGCTGAATGGCTATCTGTCAGGGGTGCTTTGGTTGTGCTTTCCCTGCATAATGGCAGAATAGGGTTGGACTAGATGCCCTCTAGGGGTCTCTTCCAACTCTTATTATTCTGTGAGTGTTGTTGTTGTTATTATTATTATTATTACTACTACTACTATTCAGAGGCTGAATGGCTTTCTGTCAGGGGTGCTTTGGTTGTGCTTTCCCTGCATAATAGCAGAATAGGGTTGGGCTAGATGCTCTCTAGGGATCTCTTCCAACTCTTGTGATTCTGTGAGTGGCAGGGCCTTGTTGGCAATTGCCCCTTGGCCTTGAAATTTCTTTTGAGGGCAAGAACTGGAAAGTTCAGGCTACACAGCACCAGGAAGATATTCTGAAAACAAATTGTCGTTGTTGTTGTTGTTGTTGTGAATGGTCCCTGATTGCCTTGGTTCCAGCCATTGGATTCCTGGGATGTTTTCCAGGGCGTTATGATCTCCATCCAAGAGCGTTAAAAGAACCGGCCGAAGTGATCTCATTCATTCCTGGAGAAGAGAAGAAGCTCCAGCAGAAGACTTTGGGGGGGGGGGGGCAAGTGCTGTCCCTCTCTCCACAAAGGGAACAAAAGAGGAACTGAACAATTGGTCAAATGTCCCCTCAGCCGGACATCTCTGCCAGGAAAGATTCTGGAGCAGATCATGAAACAAACACTTAGGAAGAGATGCCGGAGAAGGAAAGGCGGCGGCGCTTGGCTCTGCAAAACAAGTCACGCCAGACTGACCTTGGCCCTTTTTTGGATGGAGCTGCAAGCCTGGAAGGAGCAGAGAGTGCTGCGGATGGAGCAGATCTTGTCTTGTCTTGTCCAAGGCTTTCATGGCCGGAATGGCTGGGTTGTTGTAGGTTTTTCCGGGCTATATGGCCATGTTCTAGAGGCATTTTCTCCTGACGTTTTGCCTGCATCTATGGGAAGCATCCTCAGGCCCCTTCCTTTTCCCCCTCAGCCGCTTAGATATAGAATCATAGAATCAAAGAGTTGGAAGAGACCTCCTGGGCCATCATCCAGTCCACCCCCATTCTGCCAAGAAGCAGGAATATTGCATTCAAATCACCCCTGACAGACGGCCATCCAGCCTCTGCTTAAAAGCTTCCAAAGAAGGAGCCTCCACCACACTCCGGGGCAGAGAGTTCCACTGCTGAACGGCTCTCACAGTCAGGAAGTTCTTCCTCATGTTCAGATGGAATCTCCTCTCTTGTAGTTGGAAGCCATTCCTCCACTGCGTCCTAGTCTCCAGGGAAGCAGAAAGGAAGCCTGCTCCCTCCTCCTCCCTGTGGCTTCCTCTCACATATTTATACATGGCTCTCATCATGTCTCCTCTCAGCCTTCTCTTCTTCAGGCTAAACACGCCCAGTTCCCTAAGCCGCTCCTCATAGGGCTTGTTCTCCAGACCCTTGATCATTTTAGTCGCCCTCCTCTGGACACACTCCAGCTTAGAGTCAAGATCTCTCTTGAATTGTGGTGCCCAGAATTGTACACGCTTAAGCGGCTGAGGGGGAAAAGGAAGGGGCCTGAGGATGCTTGCCATAGATGCAGGCAAAACGTCAGGAGAAAATGCCTCTAGAACATGGCCATATAGCCCAGAAAAACCTACAGCAACACAAAGTTGTTTTTATTTCCCCTCAACCCCTTGTTTATTTTAACCCAGTTTCATCATTTGCATGGAGTCACAGAGGTCATTCCACCAAGTCTCTGTCAGATCTATAAACTCACATCCGCTTCCTGCACTAGGGCTTCAAGCTCATCTCATTTGTCTCCAAAACCTCTGTCCATTTGATTTACAGGCATCCAAGGCCTTACTTGTTGCAGTACTTTGTTCCTTCTGCGAGTTTTATGAGTGTCTTGCTTCTTCTCTCTCGGTTACTCCTTTGAGTTCACCTCCTGGCCTTCAGAGCTTGCTGTTGAACAGAGACTCAGTCCCATCCTGAAATGTCCTCCAAGGAGATTGATCAGATCATAGAATTATAGAATCATAGAATCAAAGAGTTGGAAGAGACTTCCTGGACAATCCAGTCCAACCCCATTCTGCCAAGAAGCAGGAATGTTGCATTCAAAGCACCCCTGGCAGATGGCCATCCAGCCCCTGTTTAAAAGCTTCCAAAGAAGGAGCCTCCACCACACTCCCTCCGGGGCAGAGAGTTCCACTGCTGAACGGCTCTCACAGTCAGGAAGTTCTTCCACATGTTCAGGTGGAATCTCCTTAAACTCTATTCCCTTCAAAGCACCCCTGACAGATGGCCATCCAGCCCCTGTTTCAAAGCTTCCAAAGAAGGAGCCTCCACCACACTCACTCCGGGGCAGAGAGTTCCCCTGCTGAACGGCTCTCACAGTCAGGAAATTCTTCCTCATGTCCAGATGGAATCTCCTTTCTTGTAGTTTGAAGCCATTGTCCCATTGCGTCCTAGTCAACCCAGATCTTTTCTTCTTTTCTCTTTCTGGTGCCCAGTTACAATTGCTTTTACTATCACTGCTTTAAAAAGTGCCAAGTACAAATACAGACAGACTTAGGAGGGGGAATCTTAATATCTGGTTTTGAGCACCTGCATGGAAGCAAATTACATTGATTTCCTTAATTATTATCTCAATGTATCGTGGGGAGGATTTATTTGTGTTATTGTTAGCTATTTAATAATTTGTTTAATAAATTTTAACAAATGTTTGATAAATAATCAAAAACAAAGGAGGAGAGCAGGAAGGGAACCTTTTAAAACATTAAGCCGCTCCCCACAAGCCCTATGAGGAGCGGCTTAAAGAGCTGGGCATGTTTAGCCTGAAGAAGAGAAGGCTGAGAGGAGACATGATGAGGGCCATGTATAAATATGTGAGAGGAAGCCACAGGGAGGAGGGAGCAGATCAGGGGTCTGGAGAACAAGCCCTATGAGGAGCGGCTTAAGGAGTTGGGCATGTTTAGCCTGAAGAAGAGAAGGCTGAGAGGAGACAGGATGAGGGCCATGTATAAGTATGTGAGAGGAAGCCACAGGGAGGAGGGAGCAGATCAGGGGTCTGGAGAACAAGCCCTATGAGGAGCGGCTTAAGGAGCTGGGCATGTTTAGCCTGAAGAAGAGAAGGCTGAGAGGAGATATGATAGCCATGTATAAATATGTGAGAGGAAGCCACAGGGAGGAGGGAGCAAGCTTGTTTTCTGCTTCCCTGGAGACTAGGACGCAATGGAACAATGGCTTCAAACTACAAGAAAGGAGATTCCATCTGAACATTAGGAAGAACTTCCTGACTGTGAGAGCCGTTCAGCAGTGGAACTCTCTGCCCCGGAGTGTGGTGGAGGCTCCTTCTTTGGAAGCTTTTAAACAGAGGCTGGATGGCCATCTGTCAGGGGTGATTTGAATGCAATATTCCTGCTTCTTGGCAGAATGGGGTTGGACTGGATGATGGCCCAGGAAGTCTCTGCCAACTCTTTGATTCTATGATTATAGTGTGTTACATTCCGTTTTTGATCTCTGTTACCCTAACATCCATTGTTTACACTACTAAACATTTTGGAAACTCTATGTTCCTTCTATATGATAGAGGGGTCTTATTGCCCTTCAAACCTAATGGTCGTAGACGGAGCAGATCTTGATTTCAGGAAGGCCTTTGACCTGATCCATGACCTTCTGGCAAAGAAGCGAATGAAACTTGGGCTGGACAATGACTGCAATGTCCCTGTGAGAGCCGTTCAGCAGTGGAACTCTCTGCCCTGGAGTGTGGTGGAGGCTCCTTCTTTGGAAGCATTTAAACAGAGGCTGGGTGGCCATCTGTCAGGGGTGCTTAGAATGCAATATTCCTGCTTCTTGGCAGAATGGGGTTGGACTGGATGATGGCCCAGGAGGTCTCTTCCAACTCTTTGGTTCTAGGATTCTATGATTCTAGGTGGATTGGGAACTGGTTAACTGGCTGAACCCAATGGCTCTAGTCAAGACATGGGCTAACTTGGCCCTTCGCTCCAGGTGTTTTGGACTTCAACTCCCACAATTCCTAACGGTCTTATTGGCTATTGCAGTCCAAAATACTTAGAGGGATAGCCAAAGTTGCCCCATGCATGATATATTTACACACACCTAACCCCAGCCTCTGTGTTGTTGATGGTTTTCATGGGCGGAATATGTTCCAGCAGCATTCCCTCCTGACATTTTGCTTGCATCTTCAGAAGTCTGTTGGAAATGAGACAAGTGGAGTGCGTATATATCTGTGAAGTAATGTCCTGGGTGGGAGAAAGAACCCTTGTCTGTTTGAAGCAAGTCTGAATGTTGCAATTAGCCAGGTTGATTAGCACTGCATAGCCTTGCAGTTGCAAAGTCAATCAGTGAGGGTATCT